CAGGACAGGCCAAGGCCTCTTGGATCCCAGAGCCACTAGGTCCAGAGAAACTGCAGTTCAGGTACACACACCAATGAGAGGGATCATATTGCACTAAAGCCCTGGGGATGGAACTGAGAGTCCCTCACCCATGATCCCACCCCCACACACTGGGTGCTCTGATGCCAGAGCCTGCTGTCATGAACAGCTGTGAGAGGGGCGTTTCCCAATATCGCCTAGGGGAGGAGGCAGCATGAGGTAGCAGTCTAACATGAGCTTATGAGCCTGCTTTTCTGACACGGCTTTGATATACTCATGTGTGCGTATTCTTGGTTTCCTTCAGAGAGCACACAGGTGACAGAATTTTATCTGTATGACTACGTTCAGTGGCGACTCTGTGCCGTGATTTGTGACTGACAGGTGGATACATGCATACATACATACATACATACATACATACATACATACACACACACAGTGTTAAAAATGTGAAGAAATGAGAACCTTCATACATTGCTAGATGGAAAATTTAAAGTGTTTCAGTAGCTTCCTAAAAGTTAAATATGAATTTACCACATGGCCAAGAAATTCTGCTCCTCAGTAGCCACCCAAAGGAAATGAAAATCGATCCAAAGAGACGTTAATATGGAAACATTTAACATAATCAACGCACACATCAGGATGTTTTAGAGAACTTCTAGCCTTTGACCTTCTGGCCCGAAAGAACCACCATGAAGTAAGGTCAGAGCTATGTCACCCCCTTATGGTAAACCTACTACCTCTGAGTTTCCACAACCCCCAGTCAGTTGCCAGGCAATGGCAAAGGCCTTACGGGGACAGAAATAGAGCACATGTAATATCAAAGAAGAAGGAGGAAGGCTGGGACAGGAGGGCATCTTAAGGGGATGCAGGCAGTGAGACAGACCCGAAGAGTGGGCAGAGGGGACAATACGGAAATGCTATAAAGACACCTGTTACTTTGTACACAGTGAGGGCCGGAGAAGCTTGCTGTTCTTGCAAAGAACCTGTGCCTCGGTTCCCAGCACCCACATCAGGTGGCTCACAGCTACCTGTAACTCCAGCTCCATGGGATCTGACTCCCTCTTCTGGACTACATGGGCATCCTCAGACATGTGGCACACCTGCACACACGCGCGTGCGCACACACACACACACACACACACACACACACACACACACAGTTTTTCAACTGAAGGAAATATAAAATCAGTTGATCTATTCACAGTCCTCTGTGGTCTAATCACCTCTCAAGAGCTCAGCCTGGGACTATGCCCTAACAGTGAGGTAGCCCTCAGGTGTGTCATGCTGTTCATGACACAGTTCTGGCTCGTGACCTTCCTCTTGAGTGCCAGTTTCAACAAGGCCTCTCTTCTGCTGGCATGGAACCCAGAAATACTGAGGCAGTACAGGATGCCATTAACCTGGTCCCTCTGGTTTTGCCAGGAGCCAAGCTCTTTCTGTTGACTCTCAGGGACACACAGCATGAGCAGGGAATACATCTTAAGTCACTTTAATTTTCTGAATATAGAGTATCTTGCCACATCTGTACCACATAGCTTATTCTGATTGGTACAATGAGAGGCTACACCTGTCAGGAAAAGAAATGACAGCCCACAGTTCACCCCGAAAACACACTGACAGCTTTGACTTAAGGCTGTCCTCACCGGTTTTCCCTCACTGTAATAAGTGAGGCTGGGCGCCTTGTGAAGAAAAGCATGACCCTTTCTCAGCTTGAGAATCTAACAAGTGTAATGCTGACATCTGCTTGGCTCTGAGGAAGGGCTCACGGCACCTGGAATCACAACAGTGGAGCATGGTGGGAGAGTGGTGAGCAATGCATGCACACAGGGATTCTGGGAACTTGTATCCCTTGTAACAATATAGTGTCTCTATCTCTGTCTCTGTCTCTGTCTCTCACCGTATGTGTGTGTGTGTGTGTGTGTGTGTGTGTGTGTGTGTGTGTGTGTGTTGCTAAGGACTGAATCCAGGAAGAGCCTGCTGTGTGCTGGACATGAGCTCTGACAGTGATTCAGCCGCGTGAGACATGCCCTAACCTGCCCATTAAAAGAGCAGCACTGCCTTACCCGAACCATCCTCCACTAGCCTGCCACGAGAGTCTCTAGCACCTCAACAAGGCTGTCCTGGAAATCAAGCTCCTGTCACAGGGGCACCTATACCAGTCCAGTAGCAGGTAGGAAATTCAGTTATCCGAAATTAGAAGGCTGGGGCCCATATTATGTAGTTGAAAAACAATTGGCCAGACTGTCACTTAGGACAGCTTGGAAGGCAGATATTGAACTTAATTGGTTTCTAGACTTAAAAATAGGGCTTGGAAAACAGAAAATCGGAATCATATGTCTGTTATTATTGAGCAGGCTTGATAAAGTATTATTTAAAAATTAGCATACCTTGAAAGCAGAAAAGAGAAAAATTATAGAAATATTAACTTCTGGCATTTCTTACATTTCTAAGTTGGAGGAAACCACATTTCTCATTCCAGTTTGAAAAAAAAAAAAAAAACCCAGAGGCCCTTTGAGCAACAAACACTGGACAGAACTTAGAACTGCGTTCGATGACAAGCTCGAGTAAGCAAAAGTACCAATGGCTAAGGAACTCACCTCCAACACAGGAGCAGTAGGGACTCGTCACAGCAAACCACAGCCCCGGGTTTCCCAATAGACAAAGGTCACATCCAGACCTCGAAACTTCCACATACTGCATAGAGCTTAGTCACGTTCAGTTTGGTGCCCTCACTGGGGGAAATTACCAAAACTGAAGACCCTCAAAGAGACAGAAGCCACTGTTTCGAGCCCTGTCCTAAATACCAGGGATAAAAAAAAAAAAAAAAAAAAAAAAAAAAAAAAAAAAAAAAAAAAAAA